AATCCAATTCCTGAATTTCCTGGTGAATTTCTTGTGACTCCATTTCTTTCAGAATCAGTGGACCAAATCTCTCATGTTTAGCCTGGGGGGAGGGGGCTTATTTTCAGGGGGATGCCTTATATTTCACTCAGAAGGAAACCTGTAAGTAGGTCTTATTTTCGGAGAAACACGGTAAGAATCATCCTATCATGTTGATGGTGTATCCCAATGGAGATGGCTTCTTCCAACAAGACAGTGCGCCATGCCACGGCGCTCGTATTGTGCAGGAGTGGTTTCAAGAGCATGAGGGAGACTTTACCTTGCTTAGGTGGCCCTCACCATCACCAGATCTCAATCCAATTGAGCATTTGTGGGACGAAGTTAAAAGAGCCACAAGGCAGCTGGTTCCACAACCATTAAATCTCACAGAACTGGACAGTGCTATTCATCAGCCATGGTGTCAGATTCCTCACATCCCCTTTCAACATCTCATGGAGTCAATGCCAAGAATAATTGCCGCAGGATTAAAGGCAAAAGGTGGACCAACGAAGTACTGATGGAGTGGTCATAATAATCTGGCCTCTCAGTGTATATTTGACAAAATGTTGACCTTCAATCGTCAAGAAAGTGTTTTTACAACCTAATCAGAGATTATTTGGAATGACTTCTAAAATAATAACACAGATCAAGTTTGTAAACCTTTATATGATTCTCCTTTGCCTCTGGTTTCCTGCTTATTTTTCTCTATTCTATAACTGCCAAAGTTCACAAATGGATAGGTTATACTAATACTTACTGAAACATTTTTTTATTACACATTTGCTATTAACTACCTTGGCTCTTGGGAGAGCTACATAAAATATTTCGTGTAAAGTACTGAGCAGAGAGCACAGCAATTCAATAAATGTTAACTAGTCTATCGGTAAGGACAGGCTATAACAAACAACCCCCAAACCTCAGTAGCTTACTCTGCATATCCACCCCAGGTTAGCAAAGGAAATGTGCTCATCACAGTCAGACACTCAGCCTCCATCTTGACACAATATGTAGGTGAAAAGGAATATGACAAACCTTGAAGCTTCATCAATTTTATAAAGAACATCCATAAAAAACCTATAGCTAACATAATATTTGATGGTGAGAAATTACAAGCTTTTCCACTAAGACTGGGAACAAGACAGGATGGCTCCTCATGATTTCTATCATACTGGAAGATCTAGCTAACGCAGTAAGATAAGAAAAGGAAATGAAAGAGTATACAGAGTGAGAAAGAAGAAATAAAGCTATTTTTATTTGTATATAAGATGGTTTATCTGTGTAAAATATTCTAAAGAATTGATTAAAAAAATCTTGAAACTATTAAGTAATTATAGCAAGGTTGCAGGATACAAGAATAATACACAAAAAGTCAACTGCTTTCCTATAATACTAGCAGTTAATATACATAATCCACAAATCATGTCCCTAAGTATTTATCCAAAAAAAGTAGAAAACTTTTATAACACAGAAAAACTTGCACACTAATGTTTATATCAGCTTTATTAATAATTACCACAACCTGGAAACTACTATGATCTCCTTTAATAAAGGAATGGGTAAATAAATGGTAGTAGCAAACCCAGAAAATGGAATATTATTCAGCGATTAAAAAATAAATAAATCAGGGGTGTGATTCAGTGGTTGGGCATTGACCTAAGAACCAGGAGGTCACAGTTCAATTCCTGGTCAGGGCACATGCCCAGGTTGTGGGTTTAATCCCCAGTGGGGCCATGCAGGAGGCAGCCAATCAGGGACTCACTCTCATCATTAATGTTTGTACCTGTCACTCCTCCTCCCTTCCTCTCTGAAATCAATTAAAATATTTAAAAAAAATAGAAATTTGAAAAATAGGGAAAACTGTGTGTGCGTGTGTGTGTGTGTGTGTGTGTGTGTGTGTGTCTGTGTGTGTGAAAGTATATGGGAACTCTGTCCTATCTGCTCAATTTTTCTCTAAACCTAAAACTGCTCTAAAAGAATAAAGCCTATTTATTAAAAAAAAAAAAAAAAAAAAAAAAAAAAGAGAAAGTTTTCTTAGTCCTTTACAAACTTTCCTTTTTGCTCTATCCAACCACTGGCACCAGCAACCCACCTGGATCAGATGAAGATGTAATTTACCTTACAATATAATTAATATCCCTTTAAATTTCACTTTTCAGATATTTATAATAGGCACTTAATAAACAAATGAACATATAACTCTTTCTATTCAGTTAATAATATCATATCTACTTACTTAGGTAAAAAAAAAACTTATCTTTGAGTCCTTCTTCCCCCATACTGAAGCATGTCATCTCTGTACCAATAAAATTTCTCTAAGATTTAACCTATTTCACTATAATGCCACTGTCATTCCAACTACTCTTGAAACATTAAAAGTTTTATGCCCTCTTTTATTTTCATTCAGCTTGAGTTCTCTCTGAAAATTTTTTGAAATATCCCTTTCTCGCCATACTTTTTGGCCACATCCAGGGAAGCCTGTCTCTCTGAGAAGGATTATTGTAACTATTCATCTTCTCTCCTACCTTCAATCTATCTCCCAATATAAAGCCAAAATTTTATATTCATAAAATGCTGGTCTGGTTATTTTATTTGTATTTAATTTTAGGACATTTAAAATAATTCTAAATAATTCTGTTTACTCAAAAAATCAAATTACCTAATGTGGAAAAGTGGACTGACCGACCTTGGACTCCAGTTATCAGCAATGATAATCTACAAAGCTTTTATATAGCTTTATTAGAATACAAAACAGTTTCAGGTGTTCCTTGACCGTATTTTCATATTTTCTGAACAAGAATAATATGTTATTTTATAAAGGTTTTGTTTCTCATGGATATCTATTCGAACTTATTGTATACTTTATAAGCTTCATTAAAATCCTTTTAAGGTATAGCAGAATCTGCTGTCTGGGTTACCTTTTAGATACTTTCAAATTAACCAAATGCTACAAATGAGTTCCTTAATCTGGGTTACCCCAGGAAACTCAGGGCGGGTCTAGAAAAGAATAGAAAGGTCACTTGTATCCTGTAACTCTCTTCTTTTTCCCCTCAATCTTGACCTCTAGAGTAACATTATACTTCTAAAAATTTAGTATAATGAAACACTCATATGGTTTACTTCCCTAGGATTTGTATCTCTATTTGGAATAAAATCAGCAAGCAATCATGAACAGAATTCTAAAATTCCAGGTTTTAAACTCCCATAACTTGAAGAAATTACGAATTATAGATTAATTCTCAAATAATTCTTCAGACCATTAACTCAGCAGCCTTCAGAACAATAATCCCTTCATACAGTGGTTGACAAACTCATTAATCAACAGAGCCAAATATCAACAGTACAACGATTGAAATTCTTTTGAGAGCCAGAGTTTTTAAACTTAAACTTCTTCTAACGCTACTTCCTCAAAATACCCAGGCTGTGGTATTTTGTGGAAGAGCCACACTTAAGGGGCCAACGAGCCTCATGTGGCTCGTGAGCCGCAGTTTGCCGACCACGTTTGCCTTAATACTTTTCATGCCTGCTTCAGAAATGAATCCGTGAAGCATAGAGACCGGAAGCGTTTGAGCACTTAACACTCTTCAGCAATCAGTACTGCTGTGACAACTTTCCACCCGTTTCCCCCAATCAAGATCAAGCTGTTTTCAAATGTGGGATTGCTATGAATGTATCCAAGGACAAGAATAGAGTGAAACAAGAGAGGCATCCAGGGCACAAAATTTAATGAGGCACTCACTCATCAGCCCTCACTCACGTAGACATGCCCTGAAAGTGCCTATTAAATTCTGTGCCCTGGCCGAAACCGGTTTGGCTCAGGGGTAGGGCGTCGGAATGGGGACTGAAAGGTCCCGGGTTCGATTCCGGTCAAGGGCATGTATCTTGGTTGCGGGTACATCCCCGGTAAGGGGTGTGCAGAAGGCAACTGGCCGATGTTTCTCTCTCATCGACGTTTCTAGCTCTCTATCTCTCTCTCTCTTCCTCTCTGTAAAAAATCAATAAAATGTATTTAAAAAAATAAAAATAAAAATAAATTCTGTGCCCTGGATGTCTTGCTCGTCACCCTCTGGTCCTGGCTCTGCTATTATTCCAGTTTATTTGTCAATGTTCAAGAAAAACCCATTTTTTATCTCTCTAATTTCAACTAAGTAAAAAAAAATATTTTTTAGGAGGGGCTCATTTTATACTCAGGTTTAAAAGGATTTAAGAAAGCATTTAGTAATACATATGTAATGCTTCATCAACGACATTCAATAAGAATGTCAAAATATCGATCCAGGTGAGTACATAGTGTTTGAGGGTGTGAGAGAAGACACTGTTTCTCACCGGCTGATTAACAGAGAAAGTAAACTGTTCAAATTAATCCCAAGACTAACATGGAATTTTGTGCATTTAAATAATTTTAATTCTTAAAAGGATAATTGCATAACTAAAAGAACCATTATCCCAAGATCTGGAAAGCAAAAAACATTTCCTGGCTAAATTAATTTAAGGAAACAGTAGCATTTCCTTAAGAGGTTCCCCCCTTCTCTTTTTTGTTCCCCCTTCTATTTTTAAACCCTCAACCCAAAAGGAAAAACAAAACAGAATTCTAAATAAAACTCAAAGCACTGATTTGAGGATTCGAATGTTTATAAGATCCAAAGGTAATTAAATTAAAATCTTGGAATTTTAATGTCTGAAGTAAAAATATCAATAAAAACATAATCTCTTCTAATCTCACTTATTAAAAGTCGCCAAAACCGGTTTGGCTCAGTGGTAGAGAGCGTCGGTCTGTGGACTGAAAGGTCCCGGGTTCGATTCCAGTCAGGGGCATGTACATTGGTTGCGGGCACATCCCCGGTAGGGGGTGTGCAAGAGGCAGCTGGTCAATGTTTCTCTCTCATCGACGTTTCTAGCTCTCTATCTCTCTCCCTTTCTCTCTGTAAAAAATCAATAAAATATATTAAAAAATAAATAAATAAATAAATAAAAGTTATTCTTACCAGATAAAGCAGAAAGGTGTGCAGTCCTGTTCCAAGCCCAACGGAAGACAGAATTCCTAAGCCTATCCAGTAGGCATACAGAAGGAACTGCTTCTCTATTCGCTGCACATACTGAAAAACAGAAGGGTCAAGGTGAAAAACCAAAACAGAATTTTTAAACAGAAATGTGGTATTTATCAACTATTGTCAAAATAAGATAAACCAACTAAATGAAAGAAACCATTAATATTAAAAACCCTTTGAAGGGAATTAATTCCTTTAATATATGATAGCAGAGATGACAAAAAAAAAAACACCTTATTGAAATAAAACTCATGTCTAGACCCTTCAAATACTACTATTGCAGTAATATTTATGGGAAAAATGCTAGTTACAAATAAGATAACTATAAGAATAAAGATTTTCAAGACATTTAGAAGTTACAAAAACTTTAAGAAAGCATGATAATATACAGTGGTAAGAGAAGGGCAGTTATTTACATAATATTTATGAACAGAATACTATATTTTTATTTACCCAAGTAAAAAAATGAGAATAAAATATTTTTTGTATATTTAAGATCAATATGCTTTTCAAACAGGAGCAAAATGAAGTCCCCTGGGATATGGATGGATTAGTTGAAAGAATGACAAAATATAAGTCTAGATTTTCACACTGGCAAATAAATTCATCAAGCTAGCTTCTTGTAAATTCTAATAGCACACAGATTTCTATAAAATATTTTTTAATGTATTTAAAATTATAAAAACTTTTCTGAGGTTAGAGGTAAACTGCTTTAAAATATAAAATATCATTTTGGAACTATATTCTATTCCAATATATTGTTTTGCTCCCCCCCCCCCCCCCCCCACAGAGAGAGAGGAAGAGAGAGGGATAGAGAGTTAGAAACATCGATGAGAGGGAATCACCGATCAGCTGCCTCTTGCACACCCCCTACTGGGGATGTGCCCACAACCAAGGTACATGCCCTTGACCGGAATCGAATCTGGGACCTTTCAGTCCGCAGGCCGACGCTCTACCACTGAGCCAAACTGGTTTCAGCAATGTTTCGCTTTTTAACAAAAGTTATTAACAAAACGTCCTACTTTCCCTTCAGTCATATTGTATTTTACTACAGGCAAATGAACTTTCATATATCTATCTATCTATCTATCTATCTATCTATCTATCTATCTATCTATCTATCTATCTATCTATCTAAAAACCTGAACCTCAAACCTCAACCTAGGATGAATATATCTGTTTGGGTGGATCACAGGAATGTGTTAAAGAAAACATAAGACTTTGATAGTGAGTAAAGTATTCATGCTGCTTTGAATAAATACCATCAGGAAAGTTACATTTAAAACCTTGAAGCTAAAAAGAGATGATATATAACAAATAAATGCTGAGCAGCCATGAACTGCTACAAGAGTTCATGTAGCCAAGAACTGCTACAAGAGTTCATGTTTAAGGCCACATGTTAAATATGTGGCCTTAAAAGTACATAAAGAAACCGATTATGATATAAAAACAAACAGATAAACCTAATGTTAAGGGCAGAAATTCTATGAAACCCACAATAGTCCCACTTTGAAACTGTTTGGGATTAGCAAAGGTTCAAGAAGAGAAGCAGAGTTGCTGAACTTCTTACCTGTTGATGTGCTCCTTCCACATAATACGTAGCTATAAGCACAGCAAGCAGCAGTAAACAAGACACCACAATGTTTTGACGATGCCATAATCTTAAAAACATTTAAAAAAATAAAATATCTCAGTTTCATTTTCAAGTTTCAGCATCTCAAGATAATTTCTTATTGAAGCACTTAAGTTATTATATTTAGCTCACCTACAAAATCAATTCTTTCTGTGATAAGCTCTTTTGTCCTTAAACACTATAGTCTCTTGGGGTACAGAAGGAGGTCAAGGGAAGATTCATGGATACAGAACTCAATTTCTTTCTCTTATCCAAATACTGATCTTGTTTACACCAGACTTCTAATTGGGAGAAGCATCCTATATAATAAAAGGCTAACATGCAATAGACTGAAAGGCAGAACCAAACAACTAGTTGCTATGATGTGTGCTAACCACCAGGGGGCGCGTGTAGAACATGGTGGGCACTGGCAGGAGTAGGCAGAGCACGGAACAGGGTGGGTGTCGGCCACAGCAGGATGGCGGAGCAGTTAAGTGAGGATTCCAGACCAAGGCAGGGCGCCAGTCGCTATCATTGGGGCAAGCCTCTGGTAGTTACTGCTAATTCTTTGCTCCCATGTGCCATGGTCCTGCCCAGCGCTTGCACCCGCTGCACTAGAGCCACTGCTCAAATCCACTGCTAATGCCCAGCGCCGGCCTCAATTGCTTGGCAACATTAGCTGGTGCAAGCAGCGGCTGCCAGCCCTGATCACCCCTCAGGGCTTCTCCACCTTCCCCTGCTCCCGAGGGGTAATCAGGGCAGCAGCCACTGCTTGCACCTGCTTCCGGCGCAGAGCATTTGGGGCCAGTGCCAGCAGCAGGTGTGAGTGGGACTGGTGCTGTCAGCACAGTGGGAGTGGCAGTGGTGGGAGTGGGTCTGCTGGCCGACAGGGGACTGGAGCCCAAGGCAGAAGGGGACGGGCAGGGGTGTGGAGGATGGGCCGAGACCTGCACCTGTGCCCACCACAACCTTGTGGCCCACAGTTCCTTTCAAAGTGCACAGATTCATGCACTGGGCCCCTCGTTATAATACAATGGAAAGAGTACTGGCCTTCAAGTCAGAAGACTTGGATCAGAGTCTCAAGTCCCTTAAAATTGCACTTTGTGTAAGATACTTAACCAATCTAATTGTTTCTCATTTTTTTTCTTTTACATTTTTTATTTAAATTATTATCTGTGTACATATTTTAACATTGCCCCCCCCCCGTTTCTCATTTTTAAAATAATAATAATAATAATCATATACTTGTTTTACCTTCTTTATGGAGTTGTTTTTAAGGTTCAAATGAACTAAAAAATGTTTTATAAACTGTAAATACAATAAAAATGTAGGATAATATTACAGATAATAACTTGGAAAGGCAAGGCAAAAAATGATAAGGCATGTAAAAGTTCAACTTGCTCTTTATGATATCTGAAATAGGCTTAGACACACTCAATTTAAAGATAGAAAACATTTCCTTTCTCATTGGCTCAAACTATCAGTAACTGTGCCACGTATCCTGAACTTTGTCCTACTGCAGAGTACGTGTATCCAATGTACATAGGCCTTCCTTCTGAAGGTAAAGCCAGAAGAAAGAAAAATCCTTTTCAGGATTCTGCTTTGCATAAAAGATTCAACATCAGACAGTCAGTGGTCAACTGTAAATAATCCAGTGAGCAATTAGCAATATGTTCTCTTAATCTATTTTTCTTCAAACTATAGAAAGAAAAATAAACACGTTCCAGTAAGGATTATATAAAAGGCAATGGAAGACTCTTTACTTTGTGGTCCAGTCCTTCAAGATTACTAGGATTTCCAGAGAAAAATACTGCAAGGTAATGAGTGGCTGTCTCCACAGGACAATATTCTGCCTTTCTTCCCGCTCCCTCTTCTTCTTTTCATTCACTGAAGAGGGATCTGAAAAACATGAGTGCAGAAATTAAACAAAATGCTCGCTTTTTCCAATCACTTTCAAAATTCATCCCACATAAACCTAAAAAAAACCAACAACATTGTCCATACTGTGACAATGGGCTGGGTGCTTCTGCTCTATGCAATCATTGTCAGGATACAAGTTTCTCTTTTGTACTGGAATACAAAATTATCCCACTTCTATGAAGGGCAATTTAGCATCACTTTATAGGCCTTGACTCATAATTACTATGAAGAGTAAAAAAATATATAATTAATCTTATATACAATATATAAGAACCTTGCATTATTATATAGAATATCATTTTATTAACAAGGTAATAGACTTATTTCTATTTTATTCTAATGAAAAGAATATTACTTAAACCTGTACATATTCTCCCTCCAAACCACCATACTTTTACCTGTGAAGTTTCCATTGTATTGTTCCTTGTTCATTGCTACACGTCTCTGGTCACAATTTTTTCCATTCTCTGCCATTTCATAGATCAATAAGCCTTGAGGAGCTAATAAAGCAAAAATAAAATCCAGTGATGCATGACATAATTCTGCTTTGCTCCTTTGACTAAATAAAACTGAATACAGAAGCATGGGAGAAACACCACACATGCTATCTGAACAACATGCTTACTGTTTTTGTACTTGGGGTAAAGTTATATGAGATCATACCTGTGGGGCCCTAACACAATGGTACTGGTTAATTTATAAGAGCATCATCCTGATATACCAAGGTTGTGGGTTCCATCCCCAGTCAGAGCACATACAAGAATCGATCAATGAATGCATAAATAAACAAAACACAGATCGATATTTCTTTCTCTCTCTCTCTCAAAAAAAAAAGTAAATAAATAAAATATATAAAGAGGTGAGAGGACACCAGATACTCCTCTCTCTGCATGCACAGAGGAATGACCATGTGAGTACACAAGAAAACAGCTGTCTATGAGCCAGAAAGAGAGGTCTCATCAGAAACCAACCCTGTCAGTACTTCAATTTTGGACCTCCAGACTCCGGAACTCTGGAAAAATAAATTTTTTGTTTAATTCAACTGGTCAATGATATTCTGTTATGGTAGCCCTAGTAGACTAATACAATGCTGATTAGTATAAACAAGGGGAACCAGATCACAGGAGAATCCTTTTCTTGGTAATATTAATAAATTGGTATTCTGGTTTGTGAATTTGGTTAGAATAATTCCATCCTCTGGAACCCATTGAGATATATGCTTATCAATATTTATAAGCTAAAAAGCTGAGAATCAGACATTGAAATATGGGATCTATACTTAGATCTGCTGGACTACACTTAACTGTGTAAGCCAGACCATCTTTATCCAGGAAACACCCTAAGTACTTTACTACGTGTCTTCGAACAGCAACAGTGACTACGGGTTATGTTCATCTTGCCCATTATCATTTTCATCATCATAAAAGGACCAATTTTATAGGGAAACAGAAAATCTTGGTTCCACAAAGCTGCCAATATGTCTTAGTTGATTTGAGGCCATAGCAGGGCAAGCAATCTTCGGACTGGGTACTTCATCTGTATTCCACATACTAGGACCGAATGCTTTCTACCCTATTCTAATTCCATTCTCCTCCTCAACTGAAAGTAGTTTTATTTCTTGGAGCTAAAAAGAATCCTATTACCATCACGTACATACTAGTTGCATGACTTGGGGAAGTAGTTTAAGTCTTTGCATTTGGCTTAATTTATAAAATTTATAAAATGTTATTTTAAAATATATATCGTATTAATTTTTTACAGAGAGGAAGGGAGAGAGAGATAGTTAGAAACATCGATGAGAGAGAAACATCTATCAGCCGCCTCCTGCACACCCCCTACTGGGGATGTGCCCACAACCAAGGTACATGCCCCTGACTGGAATCGAATCCGGGACCCTTCAGTCTGCAGGCTGACACTCGATCCACTGAGCCAAACCGGTTTCGGCTCCATGTCATTCTTTTTTTTTTTTTTTTTTTTAAATATATTTTATTAATTTTTTACAGAGAGGAAGGGAGAGAGATACAGAGTTAGAAACATCGACGAGAGAGAGTCATCGATCAGCTGCCTCTTGCACACCCCCTACTGGGGATGTGCCCGCAACCAAGGTACATGCCCTTGACCGGAATCAAACCTAGGACCTTTCAGTCCCCAAGCCGACGCTCTATCCATTGAGCCAAACCGGTCCCGGCCTCCATGTCATTCTTAAATGGTGTGTGTGCGTGTGTGTGTGTGTGTGTGTGTGTGTGTGTGTGTGTTGACTGGGGGGCTCTCAGTAATTCAGTTATCTACTTTTAGAGAAGTTATCTGTAAGTGTCCTGCACAGTGAATGGCACATACCAGGCACTTAATGTGAGTTCACCCACATTCTTTTAATGAATGTCACAATTCTCTATATCCCACACGGCACATGAGCCATACAACTGGTTTCCACAGAAGCAACCACAGAATTAGAAAAATCTTGTCATGTTGGATAACAAAAATGAATTATTTAGCATCGATCCAAACATCTTGAAAACTACTGAAAGGACAATTTGTTAAAAAATTATTATGGGGTAAAAGGGCTCTAGCCTATCTATGTAGCTAGGGTAAGATGAAGCAATCATTTTCAAGGAGAGCACTTTTCATAGCTGAATGCAGTGTATCATTCACTTTGGAAATCTGAAAAAACAATTATCAGTCAGACTCCTGTATGTGGGAATAAATCCAAAGTATTCCTAGCCTATTTAAAGGATTGAAATATTCTCAAACAGGAATCTAGCTTATCTTCCTGATATCAATGGAATTTACTTTGCACTGACAGTGTTACAATATTAATTTTAATGGCTTGTACTGAGATTAAGTTGTTGAAATAAACTCTATAGGTCTGTGGATGGGATGAGGAGAGATAGGAAAGAAGCATAACTCAAACATTAAATATCATTTTCATTGTGAAGCTATATCTAGATAAAAGAAATGCTTTAAAAGGCTGTAACTTGCACATTTTAAACACAGCTGAAGCATTCAAAAGAAAAAGTTGATATTATGCATGGGAGGGTTGTTTGTTTCTGGAAGAAATCCTTAGAAAATAGTGCTAAAATCAGCTCATAAAGGTTCTTTGTAGGCTGTATGTCCAGTGCTAAGACATAATAGTCCATTCATTTTAAACATTAGCTACATTTGTAATGCAAAAACAATGTGAAACTAAATTACTGAGTTCCTCAAAGCAACACAAAAACCATCTAAAAGTAAAATGAAAACAGCAACTCCCCCAGTAATATAAGAATTACTGGATAATTTAACAAGACAAAAGGAAAAGCAAATAAGATGAGTGAAACTCCTGGTTCTAATTTTCTGGGTCAGTGTTCTAAAATAAAATGAACATACTTCCTCTTAAGAAAATAATCTATCCAAATGACTCTATTTTTCTCACAAGCATATTAAGGTAGCTTTCTCAATAAAACATACTGTTTTTCATAAAAGGCAGCCAACTTGAATATTATACCTTTCTTGCTTTTGGAAGTGTGTATCCTTACCTGGCTTATTTAGTACATTTAGTCACAGATTACTCCAAAATAAGCTGTAGATTTTCTTAAAACTATTAAGACTAAGAAATTGCAATTTATTTTTGGAAGCTTAACAAATAATCTAGGTGAAGAGTAATATATCTCGACTAGTGAGGCTTTGATAGAGCATGCACCTGTGCAGAGATATAGAGCCAAAGATAATTCAATCACCCTGCCAACATCGGAGTGACTAACAGATCAGCTGACTCTGAGAGCCAGATCGTATCTAGCACATGGTTGTTACAGTTTAAGAATGTGTTCTTGGAAAATTCATTATTTGAAGGAGACTATATGAAAACAATTCTTTGAATCTTTTTGAACTTTCAAAGCCTTGGAGAATTCGACAAATTAAAACTCTGAGTTAGGATATAATTTAAAAGCATTCAAAGTCTAAATAAATCTTCTAATAATGGCTTAGCAGTTTATAATGGTATACATTTCTGGCCTAGACTGTTGCTCAACTTAATTGTGAAGTGAAGTGTAAAATACATTAAACTCATCACAGTCTTCTACTTGTTAAAAACGGCCACTGCTCCAGATCTAATTTTTAACTAGATAAAATTTTAAGTAAAAACCCAATTTTTTAAAAGATACAACCTGGGAGACATTTTAGAAATTCCATTTTTTGAAAGTCTGATAGATTTATGGGAAGGTTTCTTCATCTCTCACCTTCAATATGTAAAATATCATTTTGTGTTCCTTTGTATAAAAACATATTTTATTTTTATGGGGGGAAAGAATAACTTGTAAAAGTACACTCTTGAAAAATCCCATTTCTCATTTTCTCTCAGTAACTGTTCATTCAGTTATTCATAACTAATGCAGGCTAGGCAAAAACACTGTCACTAGAAATGGGAGAGGAGTAAGAGTAAGGTCAAGAAATAGAATTTGACATAAAATAGACAATTTATAGTAGAATTAATGTAAGCAATAAATGAGGAGTTAACTACCAAATCTAAATGAGAGAGAAAAACATTCTAAAGGATATTCTATAAGAAGAAAGCAATGATCCTCCCAAATTGGCTGAGATATAAGAAATGTAAAAAAAAAAAGAAAAAAGAAAAAAAAGGGAAATATGAAGGAAAATAAAAGCAAATATTGTATAAAATAAAGAGTATCTAATTTGTGCTAATATTTTTTTTTAAAGTGAAATTTGGACTATAGTATACAAATCAGGAAGAGAAAGATTAAAGTTTTCTAAAGTTGGGGAGCATCAAAAGAATACTTGACAAGAACAAGTCCAAATAGACCACATATGCCAATACTCAAAGCAAACATAAACAGATTAAGTCTGTCACTTTAAAAATATCCCAGCCCAGGCAGTGTTGCTCAAAGGTCGAATGTCTACCTACGAACTAGGAAGCCACGTCAGGGCACATGCCTAGGCTGTGGGTCTATCCCCACATCCCAGGCGATGTGCAGAAGGCAGCTGATCAATGATGCTCTCTCATCACTGGTGTTTCTATCTCTCTCTCTCCCTCTCCCTCCCTCTCTGAAATAAATAAAAACACATTTAAAAATAATAAATAAATAAATAAAAGATTGCAAGTTCTATTTTTTAATCCTCACCGGAGGATTTTATTTTATCCACTATATTTTGCTGTATATCAATTTAGCTCCAAAATTTGTGGCTTAAAAGAATCATGTAATATTTCTCACGATTCTGTGAATTAGGATGAGCAGTTTGGTCTGGGCTAGCTTGGCTCTGCAGCTGGGCGGGTTTCAGCCGGGACGCCTTGTCTCTGCTCCACATGGTCCCCTCTGCTTCGTTAGATTAACCTGAGCTTTTTCACAGGGGCTGGAAGTTCCAAACAGCAGTCAGAAGACAGGTCCCAGCGTGCAAGTGTCTTCCAGTCTGTGCTACATAGCTGACGTGAGCTGAAGCTAATCTGCCATCTGCACAAGAACTCCGGGCTGTCTCTGGAACCAGAA